CTATTTATTTATTCTGTCATATTGAGTTTAATCACTCATTTATTTTGTCATTTCGATTCATTTATTGTATCTTTACTTTTGGGTTACCTATTTTTGCAAATATACCTCTATATATGGCGAGTATTAATCGGTATTCGGAACTTTGTCAAGTGTAGTCCTGAAGTTTTGAGAGACAGTGTTGATGACTATTTCGATGGAACAAGAGCTGAATTTTATATCTGTACTGACCGTGAGAGAATTTCATTACTTGGGTGTGTGGCCATTGAAAAGAAATCAGAGCAAGGTTTGTTGCAAATTGATGACCAGTTCAAGTCTTTTTTTAGTTAAGAGAGGGGGTTTGCATAATTGATGGATAGACGAATTGAAAACTAAAATTCATGACAAAATCCTTGTATAATAAAATTTTTCTCAAAAGATTTTTTTAATTCTTATCAAATGGGTCGCAGAATTTGGTCAATTTACATTCTACGGCATAAACATGTATTATCATAGTATTTTTTGGATCTACCGGAAAAATGTGACTTTAGCAATAAATGTCAACTATTTTTTATTATATATCTAGTTTGTGAACTGCGACGCATGAGAGTTGCTATGCAATCCAGAAGATGTGGAATTGCCCGTCAACTGTACGACCACGCCGAACAATTCGCAGTCAAACGAGGCTTCACGCGAATTGAACTCAGTTTCAAAGTTGCTGAGTTTGTATCGTTAGAAACCTATAGCAGATTGGGTTTCAAGATCCATTCTGTGAGGCGAAGCGACGAGAATGTAGGATGGCTTCCTGGTCTGAAAGAGGAATCGGTCTTCATGTACAAAAACCTCGAGGCATAGAGGTCACGCAACTCTGTACTTTGATAGCCCAGCCCAGACAATTTAAGACTTTATCCGTTAAGCTAAAGGTAATCAAGTTTCACGAAAAGATTTTACTTGAATAAACTGCGAAATAAAAAGACTATCTATGTCTCGATATGATTATCTGGTAGTATATCGACTAATAGCTTGAAGATTATAAAAATTGAGACAAAAATGAACAGATTAGTTTTTCAAAAGCAGAGTACATATCCCGACTTTACTAGTTGTCACATTCCCGCAAAATCAAGTCTTTGCTTCTTTCCGTAAAAAATAAAAATAGTTTTTTTAAACCACTTATATATACAAAATTAATTTCGGTATTTTATGATTAATATAGGTTTGAGAAGGCATCCTAAAGAGATCAAACGAAAATTGTCGAGGAATGCCTCCGAAAGCAAAACAGTTTTGAAGTATATTTCAATTCTTATAACTGAATCATTCGTTATTTGGCAATTTTAGAGTAGTTTTTTCCTAAAAAGTATGGCCCATGCCTCGGGAAACAAAACTACAATTAGTCTAACAACCCCAGTTTAGATCCACCTGATTTATAAAAAAAAACGAAAAACCCAGAATGTAATGGTCGAAAGAATTACGATGAAAATTGTCCAATCTGCCCTTTGAAAGACTATTGATATAATCCGGATAATTTTCAAAAATTAAAGTTGATTGTTTAAGAACATATCTAATCAGCAAACTTGACTATTGATCATTTGTCAAAGCGTTTTGCCCCGAGCTTATCTTTTGTGAGCAAAAAACGACTATTAGCGAGCTTATCCAGATCTTCTTTGTTCAAAAAAGGTTTTAGTGCAGTTTCTTTTCTATTACTACGTATTGAATTGCATGAAAACTTCAAAGTTTTATTCAATATCAAATATAATTTAAGTTGAATAATAGTGCTTTTATTGACTGAAATTTTTTCCTACGAAACATTAGCCAAACTAACCTACGACATGTATTGTGTAACTCATTTCACTTAGTACTACTTGCTGTTCCCTAAAGCAGAACACCATACAGAATTATTGGTTGAACGCAACTTTTGCATTCTCTTACTAGTTGTTTTTAATTTAGTGTTTTCCTTAGTTAGAAAGAAGTTGCAGAGAAACGACCTAGTTTTTCTTGAGTTTTTCTACGCGCTTTTCAATGTTCAATTTGTGATCTGAGTGCATTCCTAAGTATTTTAAATTTTTAACGTTTTCTTTAAATTCTCCTCTCAGTTTCACATTTAATTTTTTGTAATTCTGGATTTTGTGAAATTAAACAGTTTAGTTTTATAAGTGTTAAGGGATAGCTTGTTTACAGTTAGCAGTTTGTTCACATGCAGTTTAGCGTTCAGCGAATCATTGTCCAGTTTGATTATCAGAGCTGTATCTTCCTGGCAAAGAAAAGTACGAAGATGGTTGCAACACGTATCAAGCGCATTCAAATAAATAATGAAGAGTAGGGAAACAAAGATAGAGCCTTGAGGAACTCCAAACTCAATGTTTTCATTTTTCGAAAATTTCAAATTTCGTCCGATTTTATTATTTACAAAATTTATTTTTCGATTCTTGATTTTTAAGACGCAAATGTTCACGGTAGATTTTGTTTCTTTTGTTTACAGAATTTTTCACTCGGTTATTTACTCAGTTTTTTGTATCGTTTTTAGTGTCTAATTTCTCTGGAAAGATCCGTGAAAAAATTGATACCCTTTAAGCTTTTGAATTTCTAGAAAAATTTATGAATGGTGCTTTTTTGATAATATTAACCCAACTCGAGAAAACTGGACCAAAATGTTAAGGTTTTATTCTGCTGGAAATCTAAAAATTAAATAATACTTTCGAACCTGTTCACGTTTTTTCTTGCCATTTCCAAGTTCGTATTTGGAGAGTGATATTTACGTAACTTTCAGCAGATGAATTCCAATTGAACTCAAAGAATGTATATACACCTATGAGCTTTCATACTGCAATGATATGTATGAATGCACACTTTTCGTTACTAGATTATTTTAACACTTTTTTCAGAAAAAAAACAAGAAAATAAACATCACTAAGACCTTAAAATTAAACATCATCACTAGGTTCATTACTCTTAAAAATCTAAATTTTTGAATTTCAAAGAAAAATTAACCGGCTTTTGAAGCTCTTTCAAACTTAAGAAAAATTCGTGGTTGAATTTTTTTTTGATAAAAATGAACCCAACTTGAGAAAATTCGATCGATAGGTAAAAAATTATATTTCGCTGGAAACTTCGATAATTAAATTCGACTTTCAAAAAATTAGAAATCGATCACGTTTTTCGAGGCCAGTAATTTCTCACTGTTTGATAGTGGAGTTTGCCTTCTATTTGGCAAAGAAATGAACTTTGAAAGAGTTCCAAAAAAAAGAGTTCCAAAAGAGTTTCAAAAAGAGTTCCAAAAAAAAATGAGTTCCAAAAACCATATGAAGAAAACTAAATTTTGACAATGGACAAACCCAAAACTTCATGGAAAAAATCATCACGTTTGTCGATACTTAAGAAAAGAAATTAAAAAAATCAACTGAAATTAGTAGAAATTTGTCGGATGGACCGTTCATTACTGCTTTTGCGAAGCATTGCTCAACGTGATTTCAGGCGTAACTGACTTTTAAGTATATCCTTTATCTCAATTCTTTCACGTTAAAGTTTCTCTAACTCTGATGTTCGCAAGTGCCTTAAATGTAGAGGCAAAGCTGCGCATGGCAAACACTAGCGAAAACACGAAAAAAAAACGCAGATTTATATAGTGAACTGACAAAAATTAGAAATAATGCTAGAAATAATAAAATTTTGGGTATATATCGATTTCAATCCTGCGAACTAGCGATATTGAGCCACACGCACTAACCAATCAGCCACAGACACTTAATTGATCTTAAACACTAGCCACAAGGAAAGCAGAGAACAGATGCTATGAAATTTCCTACGCTACAGATCGTGATTAAAGCAAAAGGGTCACCAAATGAGCACTTTTATTGCGTGCTAGGTTAGCAAAAGGCGGTTTGTACTAATACCCTACGCTCGCTAAAATTCGTAGAAAAAATGAAAATGAACATAAATACTCATGAAAATTGCACGTTTTAAAATCTAAATAAATATAGGAAACTAACTGTAAGCGATCCAAATTTTGTCCCTTTTTTCTCCATCAATACTTGAAGATATATGGCGGAGTAGCTATTTGATTTTCAAGAACCATTTTTAAATTGAACGTTTTTTGTTTAAAAAAATAGTTATATAGAAAACTTAAACAGCAGGTAACAATTTTTAAAAACAGACAACATATCGTTAAAAAAATCACTGAAGGCAATGCAACATAAAAATATTACAGACTCGTTTTTTGAAACGTCAAATTTCCAATCCAAAATTTAAAAAATGGATGTCCTTCAAATTTTTTGAATTTCAACATCAATTTTTGATAGGCACTTTTTTGAAAACCCAATTTGAGAAGCCTCGAATAGTAGATAAAGTTTCTATTCCTCTGGGCAACCTGAAAACTAAATTCCACTTCCGATTTTTCAACTCAATCATCTTTTATGTTATTTTTACACTTCAGCAGGAAAAAAGCTCAATTTTAAAATAAAGAAATAGTCATTCTACTCTTTTATATATCCGTCAATTTGTATCCGTGTTTTACTTGCAATCAGCAGACATTTATGAAATGGACAGCTCATTACGGCCTTCGGTTTATTAATTTAACTATGAAGCATATTGTTCACCATAATTTCAGGCGTAACTAAATGTCTAATGGGAATTTCGATTTATCCATTATCTCAATTCTATTGCATTAGAAAGTTTCACTATTGTTGCTGTTTCGAATTGCTTTAGTTGAAAATGACAACCGCAAAAAAAACTAAATTTGAGCCTCAACAAATTTTAGACTTCTCATAAACAAACGAAAAAAATTCATCGCGATCTATACAAGAATCTACTCCTAATCATGAGAAAATTGTTAGCTTAATTCAATGCACATTTCTCTCCCATCATGTAACACAAGAGCGACGTTGCATTTCGATTGCCTTCATTGAGATTTACGCGTGAGTATCTTTGATTCACAGACCTTTTGTATATCTGAGTTCATTACTTTTATTTTTTGTAAGAAAAGACTTTTTAAGCATCCTCCAATCCGTTGCCATCTCATAAAAAACTAAGTGCAAAGTCGAAAATACTTCAAGACAGCTCAAAAAGAAATGCAGTAAGAAATATTCTTCGAGGCACATTCAGGTCAAAATCTTCCTCCACAATTCACCGCCGTTATATTACAAGTTTTAATCAACTTCATTAAATAATTCAAGGTCGTTAACATTTAATTTATAAACAGAATAGTCACTCAACTCTTTAAAGCATTACATCGAAGTTTAAACAGATCCATATTTTGATTAACCAATGCGTTCAACAAATCAACTATTTTCCATAATAATATTTATAACTGAAGCTTTAAAAGCTGAAGCTTTAAGAGAACAGAGACTGCTTTGTGAGCACTCCATTACTAAGCAAATTGCTATAATAGCTATCCTTGTAAAAACAGCATCAAAAAAATCGCAAATTTTTCAGAATTTGTCGAAAAAAATACGTGAGATAATTTTTAAGTCACATGATAAATCCACAGATTAGAGTGTGCCTTTAAAACATATTATTCAACCATTTATATAAGTTGAGATACAAAAAAGGTATTCTTTAAAATCAAGAGACTTTGGACCCTTCACTAAATTTGATGTCAAGTCATATTTGAAATAACAATATTATTAAAAACGGATTCACCACCTAAAAAGCAGATTTTTCAAGAGGCAACTGGAGGCAATTCATGTTCACAGAACCAATCAATCTCAACCTAGAAGAAAAAAATTTTGAAAGCAGGCTTTTTTTGTAGTCCTTTTCTTGTTTAGTGGGAAAAATCAACACAACCTATATAAGTGTCGTCACTTCGTTCATTGACGCTTAAAAAGAGAGAGTGACAGTTGAAATCATTAATTGCTCTGAAGTATTGCCAAAAATGCACCCTTTCTTTTACATGAAATTTTGCTTCTCGTCAATCAAGTCTTCTCGATTTCAGTTCAATTATGGCGTGAGTCTGCTGGGGTCTCGGGGGAACATGGACACTAGTCTGATGTTGGGCACTCCTAGGAACAGCATCACCACTCTCTCCATCCCAACCCCACCTCCACCGTGAGGGGGACATCCATACCTAAACAGTTTTTCATAATGTTTTTGAATCGCTGACAAGAAATCTTTTTAAACACACCACCTCCCGACCGGGGAAAACAGACAATTAAGTTTTTAAAAAACAAATGAATCTGAACTCAACGAGAGGAAGCTCTTCTTAGGTAAAAATGAAGGCGAATTCCAACTATCACTCGACTTCGTATGCTTTACTACTGAGTTAGTTCAATAAAATACTGTTCATTATTCATATGAATTTTCAAATCTCAATTTAATTAGAAAGTTTCGCGTGTTTTCTAAAAAAACATAGCCAACAGATAGCTAAAAAATGAGTATGAAAACAAAGAAACAGAAACAAAAAACCTACTTGCTTTTTGAAAAAAGTTCAACTTTGAAACTTTGGGGCCATAATGCTTCTTGAACTTCACGAAAAAATTACATTTGTCACTTTGACGAGGTCGAACGCTACTATTTCTTAGAGCTATATGACCAAACAGATTATCGAAGAAAATTATATGCGAGTAAGAAGCTAACTTTCCAACTTTGCAATTGGTACAACCTCCAGGGAAACATCTATTTAAACTGAAGACATGATCATAAAATCTTTTTAAAAAATACATCAATTTGCGTTTAAATGCAGGAAGTAACTTTAAAAAAAAGATTACATAGTTTGAATTACAAAAAAATTTGCTTGAGTCCTGTCTCTATAACACTGATTAAGTCAACCGAAAGATCCGAAGAAAAATTTTCTTCTAGGGAATTCAGTGTGTTTTCTGCTGATGTTTTCACCTTCTTGATGATTCGAGTTCGAGTTTTAATGTGATAATTACAAAGTTTACCTTTCATTGTTGAAACACCCTTCACTTGTTGATTTTTGATAAAACTTCAAAAGTCATATTTAAAATAACATTATTATTGAAAACGGATTAACCAACTAAAAAGTAGTTTTTTTTTCAAGAGGCAACTGGAAGTTCATTCCTGTTCACAGAACCAATCAATCTCAACCTTGTTTCATCTCGGAAGGTTCGTCAGTCCACTTACGAATCAGTCCATCTTGAATCAACCACTTAAGTCTCGAAAAAGTTACCTTGTATCAAACTTTGACGTTGGTTGAATACATGTAAGATGATTTAACTGTCTGCCAATTAACGTTATTTATGAGTTAAACTTATCGTAATTTTCAGCTTTCAGAATCCCTGTTCTCTAATTTGTTCTATTGACCGAAGATAGATCACCATGAAAACTTGCTTCTTCGCAAAATGGCCAAATGTTTTACTTTTTGCTTTTAGTGTAACTTTTCAGCTCTATTTACTCGAGATTTTCAAGAAAATCAAAAACCTTCCACTTTAAGCTCCTTTTTCTTCTTTAATTGATTTCGGTTTTGGAACTTATATAAAGCAGTTTCGAAGCCACAAAAGTTCAAATAACTCATTGTTATGCTTTAAACTGGTGTTCTGAATTAACGAGTAGTGCTAGATTTTATTTCCAATCAATTCAATGAACGTTTCAATGAAACTTGTAACGAAAATGCTTCAGATACGCCGAAACTTCCAGAACATTGTTATCTTTTGCTAACATTGACCCTAACAAATTTTTCAATTACCATCGCACCCTATAAACATAGCCAATCAAAGATTGGAAAAGAGTGATGAACACAAATAAACAAAAAAAACTTTCGAATTTCAAAGAAAAAAATAGATGCCCTTTAAGCTATCTGAATTTCTAGATCGATTTATGATTGGCGCTTTTTTGATAACATGAACCCAACTAGAGAAAACTGGATCATTAGGTGAAGTTTATATTCCGCTGGAAATCTAAAAATTAAATTCCACTTTAGAAACTAGAAATCGTTCACGTTTTTTCACCCCATTTCAACGTTTGTATTTGGAGAGTGCTTTTTACGTCTTTCAGCAGATGAATTTCAATTGCACTCAAAAAGGGAATTATACCTAAATGCATCAATATTTTAAGACTTTTTCCTGAAAAAAAAACAGACAAAAAAATCGGCAAAACCTATATAAGAGTCTTTACTACGTTCATTACTCTTAAAAAGGCTTTAACATTATGTCTATAGAGGACTGGGCATAACGTTAACGTTATAGATGCCATGCAACGTAAATTTATAAAAGATCGACGCAAATTAGGAGGCAATTTTGCTATTAGACAATTCACGATGTGAATTGAGAGATATAAAATTGAAACAATCGACAATGCACATCCTTTATTCAACAACTTTCCGACGTCGAAGATCTTTCCAAAAACTCCGCACAAAAACTCAATTTTACGAAAAAAAAAACGCACAAAAACTCCGCACAAAAACTCAATTTTACGGAGTTTTTGTGCGCACAAAAACTCAATTTTACGAAAAAAAAACTCCGCACAAAAACTCAATTTTACGAAAAAAAAAACATTGCTTGTTAACATAGAAGGTCGTTTAGAGATGAGCGTATCAATACCACTGGTTTTCAGCATGATCTATCATACCTGAACGAGTCAATATAAGCCTTGATTTTAGTCAAATCTATCTCGTGGAATTTCGCTCTCTCGGTTAGGAGTTCTGGGTCGTGTATCCTCTGTGCACCTGACACGATCTCCTCCCCTCGCATGAACATGTCGTATGAGTTGCTGTATTTGGGACTGTTCGGATCTGGCATCGTGTAGAATGGTCGCACCTGAAAAAGAATTTCATTAAAAATTACGAAATTGATTCACCCTTGGTTCTAAATAAATAAAGAGTTAGAAGTACTCGTTGATATAAATTTTAACATGCGATGGGAAAACGGTAGCCGATGGGAAAACGGTTTTATCTCAAAGATGTGAAGCTGGGCTTAAATGAGGCAAAAAATGACAAAACGGAGCTGAAAGGAATCCAACTTCCGACCTACAAATTTAGCGGGTGCGTACAGTAAACCGATGTGTCAGTAAATTACCAGATCAGTAAACCGATTTATGTAATAAGTACATCAATTGCAAAATCAAAGATTTATAGAATAAATTTTCCCTAAGCTAGAACAATAACTTTAAAACTACGAGATTCATGGGAAAAGCTATTTTGTTTTGAGGAAAAAGTGTGTCATTTTGTAAAAATCTCAGTTATTAGAAGTCTAGAAACATTTAGAAGGGGATTTTTCACTTGGTTACAATCAGATTTAAGCATAGTGCACGCAGGCCTTACGGCTTGAATTTGCCATTTAGTTTAAGAATTTATCTAAAAACAACCCATTTAGAGAAAGACGTCACAAAAATTTCAGCTTTAATAATAATAATAATAATAATTTGAATTTAGCGTACGCAAGGGGTTTCCCCCACAGTTTCAGATAGTTAGACATATTTCTGCAGTTGTTTCGGGTACAGTCGCACAGAATTTTCCAGCTACAGGGGTTGGAGTCATCTAATCTTTTCTCGAAATGCTCCCACATCCATTGCAGCAAAATTTTAATCGAGTAGATGGTTAATTTTAGCACTCGAATAGATAAATTTTGACTATTCAAAACCAAAAGACTGTCTAACCCGATTGTCGCATGCTAATTGACAACCACATGCTCATCTCACAGAAACCTCAACTTAACGCTGTAGCCAGCTGTCTTACAGGGTTTCTTACAGGGTTGAATAAATGTCGTACTAATTAAAATGGGGAGGGGGAACACATAACGCGAATGTTTTGACGCACTTCGAGAGGGTACTTGTCGAGGATGAAGAAGTCGGTGTCGTACTTGTGCTTGACCAGTCTGCCCAGTAGTTTCTCATCTGGAGTGGAGAGATCATCGTAATCTCCGATCTCACAGCCAGCCTCTTTCAACATCTCAATTCCCTCTTTGTACTCCAGCACTGAAAAGTAGGAAAAAAGGAGTGAAATGAAAACAAGGCTAACCAGTTGCTATGCAGGTAGCACATAATGTTCCGACCAAATTCATAAAAAAAACATGGATAGCCGGTTACTGTGCAAGTGGAAAAGAAGGTTCCGACAATAGTCTAAAAAAACAGAATTTTTTTTTTTCAAATTAGTGTCGTTTTTCTATGTGATAACATGGTCTGAACGAAAAACTGGAACTTATGAAGAATACTAGGAATATTTGACAGTCATAAAAAAATAGGCATAAAGTGAAGGAAAAAGACTAAGAAAACGAAAAAATATCCAAAAAAAAACAGAAATTTTTTAAATTACCAAATGGCGCAAACGAAACTCCAAAAACAACTTTACTTGAGTAAAACTAAGTTTTCACGGCCTAAATTAACCAAAAATACGCGGGCATTATTCGCGCGAATTTTTAGACTAAAAATCAAAAAATTTGATCCTGTTTTCCTCGAAACTGGGACAACTTTTTGGAAATTTTGGAAACAACTAAACGTGCTTTAATATGATATATCATTCAACCCTTTCCCATAATTATTCCCATATATTGTGGAACCTCCAAAGATTATTTGTGGTAGCTGATTTTGCGTGAAAAAAAAAAGAAAAAAGAACGAAACAAACACACCCGAATAATAAATTCCCCCCCCCCCCCCCCAATTTTCAAATGGTCGAAAACACAAAGTGTTTTTTTCTTAATTTCAGTGTCGCTTTTTGCCCCAGGTTTAATGAGAGAACTGATTAAACGAAATTAAAATTTTTTACATTAATTTTTCTTTTTTCAAGAAACATTTTTTTGGTTAAGGAAGCGCTAAAGTAAGTTTAAATAAGGTTTTCCGTTTGGAAAAATCAAGTTGACTGAGCTTAAAATATTCGAACCAGTTTTTCTCAATAGCGTGACAACTCTTAAGCCGGGCAACTAAAAGGGCTTTAATATGATATATCATTCGACCAATCCCCATGATTATTTGTGGCACTTGATTTCGTATTGAGAACAAAAAAATTAAAACACACCCGAATACAAAGCTCCTCTCCAGTCTCAATGGTGGCAACAGAAAACGTAGCCAGGCGGAAAAGATCAATGAACGCAAGGAAACAAAACATAGGCAACTGACAGTTGGAACAGAATAATGAACGCAAGGAAACTGAAACAAAAACTGACTTGTTTTTCAACAATCTTCAACTTTTGAAATTCCAAGAAAAAACAAAAGGCCTTCAAGCTCTTCAAATGTGTAAAACAAAAATTATGAACACTTTTTTGTTAAGACTAATCCAATTTGAGAAAACTGGATCAGTAGGTTAAACTTTTATTTCGCTAGAAAATCTGATAATTAATTTCCATTTTCAAAATCAGAATTCGATCACGTTTTGCGTGACCTTTACAATTTTGCTGTTCGATGGTGGGTTTTGCCGTCCTTTTAACAATCGAAATGCACTTAACTTGAAAAGAAATCACAAGTCAAACCGCGAAAAATCAAAAAATGAGCGTGAACAAATTTTAAGACTTGTTCCTGAGAAAAAAAAAAATCAGCAAGACCTATAAAAGAGTACTCACTACGTTCCTTTCTAAATTTTCTAAAAATTTAAAGAAGAAATATTTAGTCCTAAACCTACTTGAATTTCAACAACCATTTATGATTGACACTTTCTCGATAAAAATGAGTCAATTTGTAAAGAACTGGATCAAAATGTACAGTTTTTACTCCGCTGAGAAATCTTAGACTTATAATTTACGTTTGTCATTAGAGAACCCATCTTACCTAACTTTTAGCAGATGAAATTGATTTGATCTCAAACAGTGCATATATATCTAGAAGGATTTATAAATGCATTAATGTGTTTGAATGAACTTCTGTGAAATATAAAGAGCATTTTAAAAGTGTTGTTTTCACTTAAATTACAATTGTCATAAATTAGAAAAACAAATGTAGAAAACTATTTTCCCTCCAATTCCAAAACATGAGAGCTTAATTCTAATTTTTTAAGACCTGAAAAACATAAATTTTGACGAAACATAATGACGACATCTGCTAATTCGATTTCATAAAAGGAATTAAAGGCATGCCAATCGATCTTAACGATAACTTATCCAATACAGCTCTACACACAAACATAGCCAATAGACAGCTGGAAAAGATTCAATGAACGCAAGTTAACAGTTTCACAGAAAAAAAAATGTTTCTTAAATCTCTTTGAATTTCTAGAAAAATTTATGATTGATGTTTTATTCATAAAATTAACCCAATTTGAGAAAACTGGATCAATAGGTAAAGTTTTTATTCTGCTTGAAACCTAAAAATTAAACTCCACTTCCAAAACTAAAAGTCAATCACGTTTTTTGTGACCTTTAGCCTTTCGCTGTTCGTTAGCGGAGTTTGCCTTTCTTTTAATAAAAGAAAAGAACTGTAATTAGAAATAAATCAAGTCAAACCGTGAAAAAGTAAATTTGAGCCTGAACAAACTTTGGGACTTTTCTTGAAAAAAAAACGAAAGAACATCATCGCGACCTATATAAGAGTCTGAATTACGTTCATCGACTCTTAATAAGCAATGATTTAATACTACCTGTGGTATGATATAGATGAACTGCACCTTTATTTGTTTCTGCGATTTTTTCACATCACATGAGGACCGAACTGAAAAATAGGAACTCTCGAATATCGCTTTAAAAAGGACTGCTGCTCTCTGTACTTGAATAATAAATTTGAAAGAGGGAACTAGAGAGAAAAAGCCGAATCCAAACTAGGAACTTACCCAAACTGGGCTCCAGAAACTTGAATGGCTCGCAGGGATACTGCTGAGCTATGAACTCAATTTCCTCTTTATACTGTTCGTGTAGTCCTCGGAACATGTGTATAAACATATCGCCAATGACGTCAACTACCTGAATGGTACTATTGTGGTATAATGGCACTAAATCCATTATATAACGCATTGTTTAACTCCTGGCAACCAGATTTTAAATTCAAATTTTACAAATTGGAGATCTCATGCGCTTTTCTTCTACAATTTAGAAAAAATGCATACCAAAAGCAAAACTATTCCGCTAACTAAAATTTAAAAATGTATTACCCATGAAAACTGTAGGTTCGCTAATAAGATACAATATATAGATACAGTTTATACAAGTTACAAATATAACACTATAGGTGCTGATATTCAGTAGGTCCCCTGGCTTAAAAACAACCCTTCCACAATACTATTCTTCCACAATAGTACCATTCAACCACCTCATGATAGTGATAATTAAACGCCAATTCCAAGTCCAATCCAACAAACTCCGTCAAGTGTCGATGTGTGTTTGAATTCTCCGCTCTGAACACGGGTCCCACTGTGAAAACCCTCTCAAAGTCAGCCGCTATGCACATTTGTTTGTACAGCTGCGGTGATTGGGCAAGATAGGCGCTGTTTTTGAAGTAAGATACAGTGAACACATTAGCTCCTCCCTCGCTTGCGGCTGAAAAGGCTCAATTGAACTTTTACTCTGCTACTTTTTCATTTCTACTCGGTTATATTTACCCTCCTAGCTCAAAATTTCAGGTTAAATTAATTTAATTTAATGTATTAGCTATTTTTCTCTGCCTTTGTTTTTATTGGTGTTCTGTAATTCAATTCTTTTGAATTGATGTATTGTATCTTAAGAATATAACCATCTTATTCAAAATTTGTACGTCCAGGTTGTATAAACTCAAAAAAAAACATGTTCGCTATTTATGGAAATTTTTAAAAAATCTTTGTCATAATTTTTCGTGCGAGCCCCATTAGGTTCAATTGATGCCTGAGATGATTTTTGGAGTGTGTATTTCTGTGAAGCCTTTAGAAGTCAAGTGGTCTCGAAACAGTCTACAGACTCCAGCCTCGACTCTGAAGATCGCTTGGTTGATGGGCGTCCTCAGATCGATTACTCTGTTATCTGAAATGGACAAGGTCAAAAAGATAGACCTGTGAGCGATATAGATCCAAATATACAGATAGTTTCACCTTATCATTATGCATGTTTCATTCTTCGTTCTGAAGAAAACCTAATCAATTGATCTACTTCGTTCATTTTGCTTCCGAAAAGGCCTAAAGATCTCAACCAATCACGTTGTTACGTATGCAATTATTTCACCTATCATTAAAAAAAACAGCAACAGCTTCCAAACAAAATACAGTCAATTATTGAATCTAGTTATCTCCAGTAACCTTATGGAGATTCACCAATAAGCTGAAAACTCAAAGGGCGCGTAATTGCTGAATAATTTGACCAGTATTATTGGGAATTCTAAATTCAAAGAGAGATTGTTGATTTTTATAGCGCAATTATTTAACGTTGGACCATAAGAACGACCCTTCCCCCCCACACACACCAAAAAATAAGCCGATTTACGATGAGAAAGTTCAATTGGTTATTTTTATTTAACTTGTTTTTTTTTCGGGGGGGGGGGGGGGGGGGGGAGATAGTTCACGTGATCGATGCGAGGGGGATAGCTCGCATGTGCTTTAACGTTATTCAATTGCACACTATTCGCCCAACCTAGTTTAGTGTCTTGTTTCACCCTTGCCAACTGTTGTCCTCCCTCTTTGCCACTCTCTTCTTCCTGTTGTTGATCTCCTCCGTGCTCGTCTGCTGATCGCCTCATAGCATCTTCAATCTGCAGTGGCAAGTTCGGCTCAGACTGGCTGACCACGAACACTGAAAAAAAACTATGATAGTTTTCAGATCTTAAAAATTTCAAACACCCTCATTATATGTTTTATTTAAAATCGAATCGCTTTCATACTCTAACCATTAAACCTCACTACCTCCGTTAAAACCCTACACCCTACAAAACTTTAATAGTTTTGTCTTACGAAATAGAAAAAATAGAAGGCACTTGCATTACTGCTCTATAGTGCTGATTTAAAATATCCGGATAAAACCAATTAAACTTTAAATTCAAAACACACTTTTCTCGAAGTCAGTGGACTTCAGAAAAAATGATGAAGGAAAAATTTTTACTGACCTGAAGTGACATGTAATTCGACTGTTTTCTGCGTGCACCCTGTGATAAGTTGGGACACCTTGACAACTTTCGCTTCCACGTCCACAATCGACTCCCGGGACACTGAACCCACGAACTTGACAAGTTGGAGACTGGTATTGCTGTCCACGAATGCTAAGGCCTGAAAAAAAAAGACTATTGCCGAATAAACATTTACCTGATAGAACGAGCTGATAATTAATGTTCAATTAGTCGACATGTTTCTTTTATTTGTATTAGATCAGCGGGTTTCGCTACTTAACTGTGATAATAATCTCAATGAACAGTTAATTGTTAGGCTGAGCAGCCCGTTCTAGCTATCCTGATGCAGTGAATGAATGGTTATGCTGCAATACAATTTAAACACTAAATCGAATGCACTGAATTTTGATTATGTTCAGACTGATTTCATTTTATTCAACTTTCAAGAATAAAGAGGGGTACCATATATTTGCTATAAGCACTATAAAAACGATGCAAGTTATTCAACTTTCATCTCAAGACTGTCAGATTATAGTATTTAAAAACGTTTCGCATCACAGACCCACCATATTTTTTCGAAGGAAATAGTAAGCTCTTGTCTTGGAACAAAGAAAAAATACAATTATCATTACCTCGTTCGGCAAACTGATCTATAATCGTTTAAGATACCAAAATTGCATGCATCATTTATTAAAATCAAAAAAGATCAAATTGTGTTTTTGAGTTGATTAGTCCGAGATTTTTCTTTATTAATGTAGGCAAAATGGTACATTTGTTGCGAGGGACAAGTTGAAAAAAGGGTACCACAGTTTTCTTAAAAGCGAATAAACTCAATCGAATAAATGATAATCCTGTCATTCAACATTTTATTTTGTTATTTATTTTCTTTGCGCTAGTCTAAAACTTAATCCTAAATTTTGTTCCGACCATTTCAAAATGGGGACGAACTTTGTATTCGGGTGTGATTGAGTTCTTTTCTTTTTTTCCAGGCAAGATCAGCTACAAATAATCTTTGGAGAGAGTTGAGTGATATATCATTTTAAAGCCAATTCAGTCGTAATTTGAACAACTTTAAAAATTTTCAAAAAACATTCCCAGTGTCGGGAAAAACCCGATTTGAAATTTTTGGCTTTTAGTCTTATTTCGAGTAAATGAGCAGGCTTACAATAATTAACTCGATTAAAGTTAGTTTTTCTTGCGTACTTAAGCGCCTTTTTGGAAACAAAAACGTCAAACACTCGAAAAAACAGCAAAAAAATTTGGACTTTTTTTATTTTTACAGGACATTTTTTACAGAACTTGTTTTCCAGTTTGCTTGGTTTACTATGTCTGCCGAATATGCCTAAGCTCTAACACTTTATGCAGATCTTGTTATCACACCACGCGCTAAAAAAACGATTAAAACTTTTGTTGTATTTTTTAAAACTTGCACAGTAGACTGCTATCCTTACTTTTTAAATGTACTCAGCTACCATGTTCATTCAACTTTATTCATTTACCTGATACGTTACAACGCATGTATCGCAAACTAACATACTCGCGTCACAGCGAATCCAAAATAAGTTAATCAATGCCTTTTTTAATGGTAGAATAAGTTTTTTTTTTTTGAAAAACTCTGACTTCAAATTTCGAAGAAAAAAAATTGATGGCCTTAAACGTCTTTGAATTTTTAGAGCAGATTATATTTGAATATTTTTTCATGAAATTAACGCAATTTGATAAAACTGAATCAATACGTAGTGATTTTATTTTGCTGGGATCTGATACACAAGTGGATAAAATTAAGCGCAAATTCAGATTTTTCTCTCTAAAAAGTCGCTTAGGATGTTCTTATTGCATGATCAATTTTTTTTCTCCGCTTATTTGAGAAAGAATTAACTCCTATGTAAAATTAAGTGCAGGTGGCGAAAACTGCCTTTTTAGACCCGGGAAACCCTGGTAAGACTTTGAAACCAAATTTTGTTAAATTCATAGAAGGCAGCGCTGATCATTTACTCTCGGTCAATGTAAAAATTTTATTTAAATTCCAAGTGAATGTTGTCGCAATCATACTTGAAGAGACATTTAAAGAAAAAAACATGAATTTGCGCTTCCTTTTGTTCACTAGTGCAATTAAATTCCACTTTCAAAGCTAGAAATCGATCACATTTTTCGTTACCTTTACACTTTTGCTGTTCGATAGTGGAGTTTGCATTTCTTTTAACAATGGAAATGCACTGAACTTGAGAAGAAACGACAGGTCGGTCAAACTGCCAAAAATCAAAATTAAATGTGAACAAATTTTAGGACTTTTTCTTGAAAAAAAAATCACCAAGACCTATGTAAGAGTGGTCACTACGTTCATTACTCTTAAAAAGTCTAGTACCCGGTTGCAATAGCCTTGCTTATCGCAAGGGTAAAAAAGAGCCAAGTTCTCTGCCATTTTCAAATTGAAAAGTCAGAATTATTTCAAAAACTGAGGAGTTTAGCAACGTGAAAAACTACAAATATATATTAAGTTGCAAAAAGTTGGAGCAGACAAAAACAATTTAAAAGAGCAATTTGCGTATTTTTGCATGTACATTTGATTTTTATGGAGACCTACAGACATGAATTCTGTCTGAAAAATTAACTTTTGCATGCAAAATGTTTTCAAAATAGGTCAACTGCTCTTTTAATCATTTTTTTCTGTCCGAACTTGTGCATTTCTCTATAACTAGGCCTCACCTGCACAGTGTATGCTCTCTGTCTGAGCACAAGGAAACACTGCTTGCCCTTTGACCTCGTAGTGTGTATTCTGCCCCTCACAAACACACTCTCATCAGCCATAGTTTCATTCAACTTCGCTATTGGCACTAGGTCCCGTTGCATTTTAGTCTTGCTCTGCATTAACTCGTACACTCCGTATTTGCCTAAACATATGAATAGACGTTCATGGTTCAATTCATTCAATTTTCAACGAAGACACAAAATCTCTGTAGAGTCTTTAAAAACTCTGAACGGTGCCACTCCGTTGCACCCAACATCTTCACGCCATTGGAAGCCACTGTATCACCAGATCTACCGTTCATTTTTCAATTCATTCGATTCCCTACGACGTGATAATGGCAATAATGTGTTCTCTGCAATAATTCTAAATTGGAATCTCAACCATTCTATTAATGTATTTGTTATAGAGCAAGGAAAAAAGAATTTATATAATCGGTTTGGTGAGTTTCAGGATATTTAACGTAACGGAAAACAGTTACGCAACTTTTAAGAAAAACAACATTTAAGAAAAAAAAACATTTAAAGATTTTTCAACCTGATTTCTGTCAATTGCAATAAAAAGCCCTGATTTAGGAAAAACGTTAGTTTTAATCAGAACGCGACCAAGTATAAATTTCAAAGAAATTATCGGCATAACCTTTCCAGTGAGATTTTTTAGGAAAAAAAACGGGACTAATTTCTAAGTATTCAGAGCGCTTCCAGTTAAGTCAAGCCATTGGCCTGGCAGACAAATTTTGACGAAAACGAAACTTAATCAGAACTAAATTCAAAAGATTCAAGTGACACTATTCAACACCAGAAAGAAATTTTTATTCGTGCATTGATTGAAGAATTTTGTAACTTGATAATGCGTGCACCTCAAGTCGAGTTATTAAGAATCACGGCATCAAAAGCTGTAACATATATCATTCGGTATCTCGCCGGATAAAATCCACAACGGTGATAATTTGTTCGAACAAGATCTGCTGATTGTCAATAAACTCAATAGCAAACCGCTCCCCAGCCAGACGATGTACAACAAGTATCATGAAATGCACAACCAGCTATCAGATTATGCCTATCGCGCAAAGTGGCCAATCAAATTGAAATACGAGTTTAAAAACGTTACTTTTCAGAGCGCAACCAAGTATATGTTTCAAAAAGATTATTTGAATAAAGTTTCTAATGACATTATTAGACAAAAGACAGGACTAAATTCTACTTTTAACTTCGCCTTTAGTTAAGCCAAGCCATTGGCCTGACAGACAATTCTTAAAGAAAAATCATTTAAAGCTTTGTCAACCTGATTTCTGTTTCTCAGAATTTTTCATTTTGATAATACGTGGACTAAATGTCGAGTTTATAAAATTCACGGATTCATAAGCTGAAGAAGATAAAAAATTTCAGTATATGGCCAGATACAATCGACAACGGTAATAGTTCATTTGAACAAGATCTGATTATTGTCGACAAATTCAGAAGCAAACCGCTCCCATGCCAGACAATGTCCCAAACTTGAGGAACGACTACGAGTTTGTCACTTTAAGGAGAGAGGACTCAAATGAGCATACAACAAAATTTAGATCTTCAGCACTAAAGACAATTGTAGTAATTGTGCTTTTTCAGAATGAGTGCGTCTCAATCATCATGACGTGCACAAACAAGTAATCAGATCATTTCTACCGAAATTGAAAACAGAAAATAAAAGTAGAAGTACGTTACTTTTCATCAGAATGCCACCAAGTAAGTCTCAGAATGATTTCTAATAGCTTTTCCAGTGACGTTCTTATAAAAAGACAAGGTGATTTGTTTATTTTTTACGGCTCCTCTAGTCAAGCCAAGCAAATGGCCTGACAGACAATTCTTAAGGAAAAAATCATTTGAAGCTTTGTCAACCTGATTTGTGTTTCTCAGAATTTTTCGTTTTGATAATACGTGGACCGCATGTCGAGTTTTTAAAATTCACGGTAGCATAAGCTGAAAAAGATTTTAAAAATTGCAGTATATGGCCAGATACAATCGACAACGGTAATAGTTCATTTGAACAAGATCTGATGATTGTCGACAAATTCAGTAGCAAACCGCTCTCATGCCAGACAATGTCCCAAATATGAGGAACGACTACGAGTTTGTCACTTTAAGAAGAGAGGACTCAAATGAGCATACAAAAAACTTAAATCTTCAGCGCTACCAGACAATTGTAATAATTGTGCTTTTTCGGAGTGAGTGCGTCTCAATCATCATGAAGTGCACAAACAAGCAATCAGATTATTTCTACCGAAATTGAAAAATAAACAAAAGTAGAAGAACGTTACTTTTCATCAGAAAGCCACCAAGTATGGGTCTCAAAAAGATTTATTTGACAGCTTTTCCAGTGATATTATTGGAAAGAAGACAGGATGGTTTTCTTTTTTTTTCACTGCGCCTCTAGTTAAGTCAAGCCATAAGCCTGGCTGACAAAGCTTAAAGAAAAAAACAATCAAAGATTTATCAACCTGATTTCTTTCCATTGGACTAAAGAGCCCTTACTCAGATCTAAATTCTAAAAAAAATCCAGCTGAAACTTTTCAGCAACACAGAAACAAAAATTTATTCATTTATTGATAAAGAATTTTCCATTTTGATGATACGTGGACCCCATGTAGAGTTTTTGAAATTCACGGTTTCATCAGCTGAATTATATGATATCATTCGGTATCTGGCAAGATAAAATCGACGACTGTGATATTTGATTTGAACAAGATCAGATGATTGTCGACAAAATCAGAAGCAAACAACTCCCAATTCAGACAATGTTCAAACATGCGGAACGACTACGAGTATGTCATTTAAAGGAGAGATGACTCAAATGAGCATACAACTAAACTTAAACCTTCAGCACCACAAGACAGTGTAGTAGTTGTGCTTTTTCGGAGTGAGTGCGTCTCAATTATCATGAAGTGCGCAAACAAGCAATCAGATTATTTCTACCGAAGTTTTAGTTAAAATAAAAGTAGAAGTACGTTACTTTTCATCAGAATGCCACCAAGTAAGTCTCAAACTGATTTTTAATAGCTTTTTCAGTGACGTTCTTATAAAAAAGACAGGACTAATTTCCAAATTTTTACGGCAGCTCTAGTTAAGTCAAGCCATTGGCCTGGCTGACAATGCTTAAAGAAAAAAAACATTCTAAGATTTAACCACCTGATTTCTTTTCATTGCAATTAAGAAATTTTATTAGGCTCTTAACTCAAAAAAAAATCTAGCTGAAATTATTCAGCACCACAGAAATAAAATATAGTCCTTTATTGATAAAGAATTTTCCCACTTGATGATAAGTGGACCCCATGTAGAGTTTTTGAAATTCACGGTTTCATCAGCTGAATTATATGATATCATTCGGTATCTGGCAAGATAAAATCGACAACTGTGATATTTGACTTGAACAAGATCAGATGATTGTCAACAAAATCAGAAGCAAACAACTCCCAATTCAGACAAGGTTCAAACATGCGGAACGACTACGAGTTTGTCATTTTGAGGAGAGATGACTCCTGTTGAGCATACAAAAAAACTTATATCTTCAGCACCACAAGACAATCGTAGTAAATGTGCTTTTTCGGAGTGAGTGCGCCTCAATTATCATGAAGTGCGCAAACAAGCAATCAGATTATTTCTACCGAAATTTAAAAAAAATAAAAGTAGAAGTACGTTACTTTTCATCAGAATGCCACTAAGTAAGTCTCAAACTGATTTTTAATAGCTTTTTCAGTGACGTTCTTATAAAAAAGACAGGACTAATTTCCAAATTTTTACGGCAGCTCTAGTTAAGTCAAGCCATTGGCCTGGCTGACAATGCTTAAAGAAAAAAACATTCTAAGATTTAACCACCTGATTTCTTTTCATTGCAATAAAGAAATTTTATTAGGCTCTTAACTCAAAAAAAATCCAGCTGAAATTATTCAGCACCACAGAAATAAAATTTAGTCATTTATTGATAAAGAATTTTCCTACTTGATGATAAGTGGACCCCATGTAGAGTTTTTGAAATTCACGGTTTCATCAGCTGAATTATATGATATCATTCGGTATCTGGCAAGATAAAATCGACGACTGTGATATTTGATTTGAACAAGATCAGATGATTGTCGACAAAATCAGAAGCAAACAACTCCCAATTCAGACAATGTTCAAACATGCGGAACGACTACGAGTATGTCATTTAAAGGAGAGATGACTCAAATGAGCATACAACTAAACTTAAACCTTCAGCACCACAAGACAGTGTAGTAATTGTGCTTTTTCGGAGTGAGTGCGTCTCAATTATCATGAAGTGCGCAAACAAGCAATCAGATTATTTCTAAGGAAAAAAAAATGAAAGCTAAAATGTAAGTTGAAGTACGTTACTTTTCATCAGAACGCAACCAATTTCCAAAAAGCGTATTCGGATACTTTTTATAGTGACTTTAAAAGATAAGAGAGAGGAATAATTTTCTTTCTTTCGGCGCCTCTAGTTAAACAAAGCCATAGACTCAGCAGACAAAAATCAGTTAAGCAATTGTAATGTCCTTTCAAGATGATTGCAAAATTTGAATAAATAAATTGAGAGTAATTATGATCAACGTTAAGCATAGTGCGCTTTCAGAAGTACACATAAAATGGATAATGATTTACAAAAAAATGATTACAACTGGATGTAAATTTTCCACGTTTTACCCCATGCAAATGAGCACTGACCAAAACATACAAACACTCATTCATCGATTGAGCCATGACGGCATAATTTTATGTTATTACTTCTATGAAATCTTTTGAAATGTTGAACTTGATTAGGCCAGAAATTAGGGGCAAGACTGAGTTGATAACTCGAAGGCGAGGTGAAAAACATGATTGAAAACCCAGGGCGAACATCCCTAATCTGCCATTACGGCTTTATTCCAAAAAACTTGTGTGGATTCCTGGGAAAATCTAAGCGGGTACACGATTTTGAGCTAAAGACCATGCTTTGAACTTAGGAAACGATTACCAGGTTGTGGCAAAGAACAGTTGACTTAAAGAAGTCTCTCCATAATTACAGCTTTTACTTACTCTAAATATAAGGAAACTATTTCTTGCACTAAAATATGCGCTGCTGACTTCTGTGACAACCTTCAAGAGTATATGTTAACAACATTGTCTTGATTTC